GAAAATAATGCGGTATCGCCCGCGCATTTTGAATGGCTGCATCTGTAGCTCTTAAAGTGGACTTGTTAAGCCTGGTGTTCCTCATGGCTTAATACTGGGGCCCATACTTTTCAGCATTTACATGTTTCCACTTGGTCAACTTTTAAGATCATATGGCCTCAATTATCATTTCTATGTTGATGATATGGATGGCTCAAAATTTCCTTCATCTAAATTATGACAATAATGCCATGCTTATTTGTAAGCCAATGCAGTAATCCTATCTGCGGATAGTACTGTACTTGAGCTTCAGTCAAAATTGAAAAACTGTGGGGGTGATATTTGATTCAGACTTGACATTTGACCCACATATGCAACATATTGTGACAACATCATTCTTTCACCTCAGAAATATCTCCAGACTACGTCCTCTGTTAATTCTAACTGTTAGTGAAAATCTGATCAACACATTTGGCTTCTCCCGAATTGACTACTGTAACGATCTACTCAATGGGGTTTCTAAATCCACATTGAACAAACTCCAATATGTCCAAAATTCAGCTGCCAGAATCCTGGCCAGATCTAGTGCAAGTGATCACACTACTCTTATCCTGCACTTCTTGCTCTGGCTGTCAAGTTTCATGTGGACTCTGCATGGCTTTGCACCTCAGTACCTGTCTGAGTTACTATCATCCTACTCCCCATCTCGCAACCTACGCTCTTCTAATTCTGGTCTCCTATCTGTTCCCCAAACCCATTTGTGCTCTATGGGGGACAGGGCCTTCTCCTGTTTTCCCTAAGGATATCAGACAGTCATCTTCCCTAAACTCTTTGAAATATACACTCAGAACCTTCTTATTTACTAGGGCCTTTACTTAACTGGTTCTGTTATATACCCTTTTGCTCCTATCATATTCAGTACCCCCATCTACTGTCTCATGTTGTATTTTCATTGTGTACATCTTGTGTAATTTTTTTTTGTTTCTGTAAAGTGCTTTGAGAAGCCACCTTTGAAGACACTGTATAAATAAAGTTGATAATAACAATGATGATGATGATATAATAATAATAATAATAATAATAATAATAATAATAATAATAATAATAATAATAATAATAATAATAATAATTCACAACTATACCACCCTATAATTGGGAAATTTGGCTTTTAATATTATTGTGTCCTATGTATTTAGATGAATAAGCAGGCTTTATTGTTACTCCCCAAGTAAACCCTTATTTTTAATATTTTTTAATATTGGTTTAATTCACTCTGTCCGATGAGAGAAAATAAATCTTTTGAGTGTGTTTGGACATCTGAGATATTAGATTAGATTACAGTAAATGTCAACAATCCCTGGAGTATCTAGTTGGATAATCAGAATCCAAGTGTGTAAAGACCAAACAAAATATAAGAAGCCATTTGACCTCAATCCGTATGTGTTGCTCATGTGAGGATGTGTTATTATTTAACACTTACAAATTGTGTTTATTCAAGCTGTTGTCCAGACAATATAATATAATATAAGTATTACCTATCCTGTATTTCTAGTTATTTTCTAATACCCCCTTTCCTAAAAATATTATGTTCTTGTTGAGCTACTGCTATAAGTGGTTATATGCTACTATCAGCATTTACAAATTAAATAATTTTACTTTCTATATGAATACAAGACTGGTGTCCCTTCAAAGGTGTATCCTGACTTCCGGCCATTGCTTGCCAAGATATGTTTCAACTCCTTCACAACAGTGAATTGGATGAAGTGCTTAGAAAATGGATAGATGATTAATACGGAAAAAAATCAAATCTTTGCCATTTTTTTAGAAGAGGAACACATGCAACAACAAAGGAGAAATTTATTATAAATAATTCTTATATATCTGTACTATTGTGTCGATGTAGTGTATAATTACTACATTTAATAAATAATTAGCAAAACTTCATTTATTTATATTTTGCTTCATGCAGCTGTTGTTTTTTCAGGAAAATGCAGTGAATCAAATTGTTGACCCTAAAAGGCAATAACACCTTGTTGATAGCTTTATTGGTATTTATAGAAGCAATGGACATGCATGTGAAATGTGTCTTCATTGGTTAATATAAACTTCTAGAAAAATACTTGGTCATACATTCACAATGAAGTAAAATAGTATTACATTTTAACACAGAAATTATAAAACAAAGCAGCCAACCAAAAAGCCTGAAGTATCTAAAAGTTCAGAGAAGTATAGACATGTTTAAGGCAAAATGATGTTCATTCTTTCACACTATATGTTGAGTTAATGTTTTAACAGAATATTAATTAGGGCAACCAAAGTTCAGGAGTTCTGATGCAACTTCCTTAATCTGTTCGCATTTGGTTTGGAATATTAGGCTTTGACACTCCACATCTGTTGGCCACAACTCAATCCATGTTCCACTGCCAATGAAATACACAAACCTGTAATAGAGGAAAAAGGATAGAATTTAAATGTTCTGCCTGAATAGCAGGGCAAAATACACCAGGAATTCTACCACTTGTTTTTTCATAGACAGTATTTGTCTAATTAGTTGATTTTTACAAATAAAGTATAGATATAAATATTCATTATAAATTATTTAAACCTTGACTTATGTAAACTTGTGTATTGCAGACGTACTTACAATTGTGAAACCAATTGTAACCTTAGTTACCAAAACACGGGGGCTACTTAGCATACTTTTAAATAATTCAAAGATTTACTAGAAAACTCAACAAAATGTAATGTGTAGTTTTTTTTTATTTTCAATTTGATACATGGCAGATATCAGGGAGCATGATGTTAATTTGGGGAGCCTCACATAACAGACACACTCAACTTATGTACTTAAGTGGACTAACGTTTACAAATCAGGTCAACTTGCACAGTTACACACAGCACTAGTTTTCACTACTACCACATACTGCTGCAGGGTACCCACACATCTGCCCCCCTTTTCCAAGTCAGTAGCAGTGGCAATCACCTCATCTTGTACCCCTTTAGTTTGTCTGGTCACGCTCTTTTCCCCTATTTCTGTTTATCGGTGTGCTGACACAAAAACCAACTGAGCCAGTTACTCTCTTTGACACTCACAGAAGTCACACAGACATCATGAGCAGTGAGCTCTGTTCTCTTTCACACACTCATAACAGACTGATTAAAACAATTTTCAATTGCCAATCCTCTTCAGAACTGCTGCTGGAACCCCACCCATTCCAGGTTCTAGCACGTTCATTCACCTCCCCCTGAGCCCCGGCTTCTCTGAAACTCACTGCAACATACCTGTATGCTAGAGTGTGTATAACTCTGCTGACCTCACTTCTTAACTAATCTTAAACAGGGAAACTGGGATCTCACAGCTGATGCCAACCCCCTCATTATCCATGTGCATGCATAGGTGGTATATGCCCTACCACTGTTCTATTAAAATAAGCATTTTCTAAATTTGCAAACCAGTGGAGTTCTATTTTACAACCATCTGTTTGTTATACCTTCAATTCTATGAACCTAGGTAATCTTTGTCACTCTGATTTCATATACACTTAGTGTTTTGCTCTAACTACTGCTGGGAGATCAGGCATGTATAGTTCCAAAGTTAGACCTGCTGTTTAATATTTCAGAAAAGGTCATAAATATACTAGAAAACTAGAAAATGACATTTAAAATTCTCACCATGTGAGCTAGAAAATGCCTGAGAATCTGTTAATGATATATGTTAATAATTTAAGAACTGTTGTTGCAGCTAAATAAAATAAAGAATAAAAAAGCTAATTTGTCATTGAGTGTTATTAAAATAACTGAGTTTTATGTACTCTCTAAAAACATAATAATTTAATAAGTAAAATTGTATATCACAAATATGTAATATTAGAGAAAATTGATTATTAATTAAATCAGTAAACTGAAAAACATGACACTTCTGCTCAGTAATCCTCTTCTGTTTCTCAGTAAACAGGTAATAAAGAAGTCTCAGTATGATGTTTCAAGATTTTTAGGTTTCATTAGGGATCTGCAGTTGCTTTAAAGTCTTATTTTCTAATAACACACCCTTCATTTGTGTTAATCAAGTCCACAGATTTCCCCATGATGAGATAACTTCTATTCTTTTCAAATCCCAGGGTTTCTCTGCAAGTGGAATGAGAGACAAATGATCTCATCTTTTCCCTGACTCCAGTATCACTTCCTAGAAAATAAGAGGCACAAAGAAGTCAATGGGATTGGAGTGGAAAACAGAGAATTACAGTATACCATCTAAAAATATGCTTATCAACTTTATTTTAAACATGTTTGGGATATGATTTCCCAATTATAATCTATTTGATTATACCAGAAAAAAAAATGTAGCTCTGTGGATGCAGTGCGATTTTATTTGCTTTTATTTTTATTTCATGAAAATAAGTGTAATATGAAATAAGGCTGGAACAATTTGAAAACAACTAAACTAACGGCTATAGTGCCTTAAAAAAATAGATGACAATTTATGTTAACAAAAATTAGAGGAGTTTTTATTCTATATTTTCATGCAATTTCGTGTTGTGATACATGATTTAATTACCGATTATTTTCAAATTTCACTTTTATTTCAGGCATACCTCATCCATGAACTGCAATAAACAAGGAAGATGAGATCATGCTAATAGGTATTATTTTTGCTATTACTTCTACTTATTTATTATTTATTTACTTATTTTATTTTATTTTAATAACAAGTAAACTGAAGGATAAAAAATAAACTTGATTTACCTTCTTTGATCACATCCTCAATGAGCATTATGTATTTATCAGAGGACTGGACAAATTCAACAAGCTTGACTTTGTAAACTGCAAAAAGAGATAATTGGATTTAAAATTCAAATTTATATTGTAGATTAAAGGCATATTATAACACTTAGATCTACATCTTTACATCAGAGGCTCTCTGACAAGAGATATCGTAAAACTGTATCAAAGCTGAACAGTGTAATGATATACAGATGCAGCCATTAAAAATGCGCAGGCGATACCGCATTTTTTTCCGGTACGCTGTACGCAGTCAACCGCTAGTTACCGGTAAATACCGCTAGCAAAATAATAGTATCCGGAATTTCCGCAAGGTGGAGCTAATAAACCTCAACCTCTCATGTTTGAGCTGTGGCCATCAGTCTTTAACGAAGATATTACTAATAGTATTAAAAATGAATGACCTTGGACAAGCTGTAAGTGTAAACTCAAAGTATGCCCTGGTCCACCTTCTTTTTTTCATTGACCGTCTTTGTAAAAGTAACACCACAGCTTTTCGCAATCACGCATTTTTTTCCAATCATGCAAAGTACAGTAATTTTTGAGAATCGATTCACCATGCCTTTCACATGCTCATAAAAGAGATTGATTTAGGAACATATTACCGTATGCAAACTGTACTGTATAC